ACACAAAAGCCCAGGGGGGGCGGGCCCCCCCGCCAATAGCAGAAGTTGCTGTATTCAGGGTTGGCCAGGTCTGTGCTGGGGCCTCGCACCACAGGTGGGAAGAGAAGCTCAACCACCTCCCCGAGCCGCTGGTACCTGTGGGCAGAATGGGCTGTACTCAGCTGTGGCAAGGCAGTGGCCTTCAAAGTTGGTGAGGCCCAGGATTTGTCCAGGGGAGAAGGTGAAATTGGGGTCCTAGGAGAGGCTGGGCATGGGGGACATATGGCCTTACGTGGATTTGTGGTTCTTTATGAGCTCCTGAACAAGGTCTCCCCGGGGGTTGACTGTGAAGATTCGAGATTCAGGGAGGCCCACTTGTCGGTAGGCAAAAACATCCTACAGTAGACGGAAAGGGTTAGCACAGAGTCTGAGACTGCTTGGAGCAGGGAGGAGGGGGACACTCACATTTGGCCTGTTCCCAAAGGCAGCATAGAAAGGTTGGCCTTGAGGCAGAAACAGCTGCTGGATGTCACTCAGGCAGGCAACTTTGAATACTTCTGGCTTTTTCTCAATCACCTCTCTGGAATGGCCATGGCCATGGACCGGGAAGAGGGAAAAGGAAAGTCAGACACCAAAGGGTCAGAAGATGTCTGACCCAGTTGGACACCCATGTGCAAATGTGTGCTAGGTTGGGGGTGCTCCTGCCTTTCCCTGCAAGGAGGCACAGGCCAGTGTGAGGGTGATTACCTGTGGAGGGCAGAGAAGAGGCTGCTGGGAGACAACAAGATGGGGCCCTTAGGAAGACCACAGCCACGCTCGCTCACCCACTGCAAGTAACCCTTGGTGAGGTCAGCCATGCCGATGGCCCGTGCTGAGCAGTACAGGAACTTGTACCCATTTCTGTGGGGCGGGGTGGGGAAGACAGAGCCAATCAGAGACAACCTCCATATTCCCATTGCCCAATTGCTGTAAGCCCAGCTCAATGCTGGGGCTCTGGCCTTCAAATCCAGAGGGCTTTGCAGGAAGGGGACTTGGGAAGGCCTTGAGAGGTGACCTCAGCAGCTGTCCCAGCTAGGACATGAACACTTTTTTATGGGCTTCCTGCTACCTTAAGGTAAGCAGGTAGATGGCTCACAAGATAACTAAGGGCCAGAAAGGTTTTATGGTCTTCCCAGGATACTTCTGTTATGGGCTCTGGTGGTTTCCAAGACTGGTTTCCCAGGGAAGAAGTTATGGTAGCCTAAAATATCCTATGACTCCTTCCCTCCAGATAGGAGCCCTGGCCCAGCCAGAGCTCAGCACTCACAGATGGATTTTGTGGTAGAGACTAGTAATGCCCTGATGTGTCCAGTCTTTCCCCAGCTGGGGCAGAATGTGGCCCAGAGCATCCGACCTATAGCCAGGGAAGAAAGGTCATTTAGGCTCTTCAAATAGCTCCCATGCAACATGGGTGCGGGTGTTTCAGCCCACCTGAAAGAAGGCATTTCACAATGCTCCCACACACCCAAAACAAAGGGAGGTATGTCCCCAGGCACTCCCCCAGGATCCTCACAGCTAGCTGGGTCTCACTTGGTGATGGTGCCATCTATGTCAGAGATGACCACCTTGTCATCCCAGTTCCACAGGTAGATGGTGGCTTTGCAACGGCAGGTGCCTTGGTACTGGGTAGTCACACTGAAGACCACATCGTTAGCTCCTTCATGCAGGTTCAGACATCGCTGGGGACAACAAAGGGGTAAGGTATGGTCCCCTACTACCCTCGACTTTGACTATGGCTTTTGATCCCCATGAGCCTTTTTCCCTGCTTCCTCTCAGTTCAGAGACCCTTTCTGGGGAGTCTCATGATAGTCACACATGGATACATGTACATGGGCAGAAGGCACCTGTGCTGCCCAGGGACCTACACAGTGCCAGGCACAGGAACCCTGACTTCCCTTAGACTCTCCATGTCACAAATCAGACAGGGCATGTCTGTGACTCTCCACCTGGGTTTCTAGGTCAGCCCCAAGGCAAGGGCTGGTCTTGACAGGAGATCCTCTATTCCAAAGGATGGGACCCTATGGGATCATGATAGGAAGCCTCTTTCTGGGGCCAGGATACCGGAGTCAATACTCCCCTAAAGGGAGACCTCGCCCTGAATGTGATCCATAGACAATGATGGTGGCTGCTCTCTATCATACCTAGGTGACCTCCATGTCCTTGCTGATCCAAAAGTAGACAAGTACTCTAGGGTACCAGGCAAATGGCTGCTACCCTATACCAAGCCAGTAAAGCACTAAATGTCTTCTTGACAGTGGGGCCACCAACTACAAATTTCAGGGGGATCATACAGTGACAGATGGAAGGGGTTGTCAAGATCTTAAGAGCTGTTGTAAGTATGGATGACTTCAATGAGGTGTCCAAGGGACACTGCAGGTAGTTATTTTAGGACATGAGAGGACTTTCCCCATCAGAGCTTCTGAGAGGAATGAGCTGGCCCATGAAGAAGTGTTTCCCCATCACTATCCAAGCAGAGACCATCAGGGAAGCTGCCTATGGGGTAGATTCTGGGCTGTGCTGAACTGCATCTCATCTCGATCTTGTGAGACTTGGGTAGAATTAACACAGCCCAGTCCCTCCACACAGGAACATATGGACACACACACTCACAATCTGATCAGAAGACAGACGAAGGGACTTCTTGTAGGTAGGAATGTAGCCTGGAGTTGAGGCTGGCAGTGGGGGGACTTCAAGGATCACAGGGCTATCTGGGGCATCGTCATCACTGCTTAGGACTTCTGTCTTCTCTCTGTGGGCATTACTGGAGTTTGGACCACCTCCCCAGCCAAAGGCCCCTCCTTTGCTTACTCTCAACCCAGGAACATGGCAACCTAGGGCTTGTCCTTCTAGAGACTGCCTTCCCTTCAAGTGCCACCTATATGGGATGTCTACCCAGGGAGGTGAGAGCCAAGCTAGAATGGAGGCCCCAACATAGCTTCAGTATTCCTCCCTGGGATGTCTATCCTGGAGATATTTTCCTGAACACATGTATCCTGGAACAGATCCTCAGTCCTGCTTGCTTTGGCTTCAACTGGCCCACCCTTGGTCACTGTCTACCCAAACTTGGATGGTTGGGTCACTACCAAGGTTAAGGAGAGAAAAGGGGGAGGAGAGAGAGAGAGAGAGAGAGAGAGAGAGAGAGAGAGAGAGAGAGAGAAAGAGAGAGAAACAGATTAAGTAACAAGTCCCTGTGCACTGGGAAGAGAGACCCTTGACTCTTCCCTCCGTACAGCAGCCCCTTACCCAGGCTAGGAGTCTTCATACCTGTTCAGCTTTGCCTTTTCCTACCAGAAGGACATTTGGCATGTCTAGGTCTCAGTTTTCCCATCTGGGAGGTGGGAACATTTCTCAGATAAACGAAATGCTTGGGAATTGACAACCACCATGTCTGGGGAAGAAGTTCTGGAACCCCCCCTCACCCCAACCAGGGTAGTTCTCACCAGGCTCCAGCCCTGAGCCCTGCCAACAGGTCCAACTTACCCCTGCTGCTCCCTAGCTGTGATTTTCTCCCTCTGGGCACGGTGCTGTGGGAAGAACTTCCATAAGCAAATTCTGCTTCCTGCCCTGTGCTGGACCTGTCCCATGATCACTGGTCGCCCACCTACCTCCTCAGCTGAGAAGTCCCTGCGTCTCCAGGAAAACCACCATCGCCCACCCTTCCGGGGCATCTTCTCCTTCTCAAGCTTGTCCACAGTGCTCTGTGGGTAGATGATGGCTACAAGTTCTTTCTGCATCCCATAAATCTATCTTATATTGGCATTGGGAACCCCATGAGCCCAGAATCTTGGCCCAACCTAGAGCATGGTACTATCAACCTCTGGAGGCTGAAGAAAATGTTCTCCTCTCCTCCTCCTCCTCCTAAGAGCCCAATAATGATTCATGGAACTCTGCAGAGGAATTGTGTTACCAGAACTCCTGGCTCTAACCTAGCTTCCAGATCTCACCAGCCCATGCCCTACTGGAGCGCTGAAGGTAACAGGGAGAGGGAGTGTCTTAACATTCCATGCATGTTGCCTCCCAGTGGTCCTGGGAACAGACTGTAGTCAGGATACTCTTCAATCCCAAACACAGACAACTTTCTGAAGTCAGTGATCCTAACCCATGATCCCATCCCTCTCCCTGTACTCTGATCAGTATCTGACTGGGGCAGCATTACCTTGAGGAAAAAAAGCTGACTAGATGCATGCTACAGCCAAGTCCAGGGCAAGGCCTGCCTAAATGACATACCAACACCCTACAGATTCAAGTCAGAAGGACATAAGCTTGGGGTCAACCAGCCTGGGTGCCAACAGGCTTGGGTGGGGGGTCTCTCAAAGTCCTCAAGTGGTGGGTCTGTCTGGATAAAATGAGGCAAGTCAAACAAGGGAGTGACTCCCTTCCCAGAGGCTCTAGATGCTAGCTCTGTTGCCATATGATAGAGCCAGATGTCACTAAAAGGATGCTGTCAACATTTAACCTTTGAGGAAGCCTAACTAAGAGAAGAATCATGGATAAGGCCAGAGTGGGGCCCTGGGTACCTCCTAGAGGGCAGAAAGGGCAGGTAGAGTCACAGGCTGCCACTGTTCATGAAGGATCTGACCTCACAGAGAGGGCAGGTGGCCCCAGACGGCATGGTGGAGTTCTGAGGAGGAAGATAAACGCTTTCCCCATCTGAGTATGTACACATGCTGTTCTCTGCCTGACCTGCTCAGGACTGTCACCTATTTGTCTAGCTAGTGGGCACTTATTCAGCCAATACCCCATAGTAGGCTGTCACGGCATCAAGGCTGCTCATCCCCAGCACTCAGCTGAACTTGATACTCGTCCAGATGAGTCTTGGATCAATTGTGTCTTCCTAGGAGATGGGTTTGTTTGGCACATAACTCCTCAGGCTGGATATGGCACATACTAGGTACTCAATAGATAAGCTGACCATGGGAGCAATTGCCCCTCAGTCCAGCACAGAGGAGGGGCCTGTTTCCCAGGTCCCATCTTTCCAATCCCAAACTCTCCCAATGAAGGTTTATCTCAGTTTGGTCATACATTGGACCTTTATCCCGCTCTGATTTCACTTGAGTTCCTCTGATGAAAAATCTACACCCAATAGGACCCAGCCATGGCTAACAACTCTGGGAATGAATGATGGGCTTTGTCCACACAGTATAGGCAAGACTTTGAGGACCTGTGTTTCCTGCCTCAAGAGTGAATCCAGTAGCTTGTAGTCATAGGCTTCAAGGCCCATCTCTGTTCACCATCTACTTTCTTGTCAAGGCTATCACTTCAAGGCAATGGCCCTAGTGATATTCTAAGCATTACCTCTGGTAAGTTCTTCTGGAAGGCTTGCAGAGAAAGGATCATGGGAGCAGCTACAGCCCAATTATAATGCCTGGAGAGAGAGAATAAATTGGTAGAGCTACAGCAGCTGTGAGGGTAGAGAGTGGGGATCTCGGACCATCAGCCACCCCCAACCTGCTACTCACTTCTTATTGATTTTCACCACGAGGTTTGGGTCATCCAGGAGCCCGGGATTTTTAATGAGGTCCTCGTAGGAGACCATGTGCTGGTTGAACTTCTCTGGGCACAGAGGCAGAGAGTGAGGGCTGACACTGTCATGACCTGCTTCCTCCAGACTCTGCTCTATCCCTCCTGTTGGCCAGGTCTTTGACCTAGTGACATTTTCCCGTTCCTGTGGTTTTTACACCTGTTCCCACTCCAGGATAGGTCAAGGCTTACTATCAAGCATTTGTGTCACAAAGATGTTGGTTGAGAGTGGGCACCACAGGGCAGGTAATAGCAGGAAGCTCAGCACAGCCTCACGTCTGTGCTTCCCCACCCTCAAAAGTCTTCCCTGACTTCTCCTGGCTCCCAGAAGTCTTCCCTACCCTTCTGTGACCTCTGGAGGGCTTCCTTGCTCTTCCTTGGCCCCAAGGGTTGTCCCCCATGGCTCCGGGGTGTTATGTCTGTTCTCCTCTTACTTCCTTTCATCCCTAGGAGCCTTTGTCCCTTTTCTGATCCCTGAATGTCTTCCCCATCCTCCCTTGGTCCCTAACTCTGAACTAATCCTTGGGGTGGCTGGCACCATGGTTGAACATACCCATTGAGATGTCTCTAGTGTCAGCCAGTCCACCACAGAGGGACAGCGCTACTTTGTCCACTGAGTCCAGAATGGGTTCTGCTGTGTGCTCAGGGTTGGAGTTCTCCAGGAGCTTCTGGTGGCTGGGCTCACTCCACCTCCTGACCCCGATCCCACAGTCACTAAAGACAAAGAGACCAGAGATGATATGAATAAAGAAGATGGATGTGGCTCCCCTTTCCTCCCAGGATCTTGATAGGAGGCCGTTGACTCCACAGGCCCCCGTCCCAAACTCCCTGTCCCCCTAGAGCCCAGTTACCTCTGGGGGAAATAAAGGGCCGCGTTCTCAGAGTCCAGGGAGGAGAGGTCATCCAGGTAGATATCACTAGGGCCCAGGTGGTGGTTTCTCTTCAGGGGACCTGAGGGTGAAGGAGGGGACAGCCATCCACTAAACATGGGTTCAGTGGCATGAACAACACTGAATGTCCTAAGGTGGTGCTGCCCAATCAACTCTTCCATGACAGAAAAGGCCATATCTGTATTGTCCAATATTGTGGCCACTAACCACATGTGGCTACTAAGCACACACTTCAGAAAGACTGGTGTCACAGAGGAGTAGAATTTTAAAGTTTGTTTAATTTCAATTATTTCATTTTTCTTACCTATTAGTGTCTTTAAAAAGCATTTTTATTTATTTTGTGTGTGAGAGTATGGATACATGTGTGTCATGGTACACATGTATGGTCACAGGACCACAGTACATGTATGCATGTCAGAGGACAACTTGCAGGAGTCAGTTCTCTCCTTCCGCCATGTGGGTTCCAAGGATTAAAGTTAGGTTGTCAGACTTGGCAGCAAGCGCTTTACCCACCAAGCCATCTCACTAACCCCATGCATTGTTTCTTTGAGATAGGGTCTCATGTACTCCAGGCTGGCTCTGAACTCACTATGTAGCCAAGGACAACCTTGAATTTCTGGTCCCCTCCCCACCTATATCTCCCAAATTCTGGGATTAAAAGCTTGTAGCACTATACACAATTTGTGTGGGGCTGGGGCTCAAACCCTGGCTTCCTACATGTTAGTCGAGCACTCTGTCGACTGTACACCATCCCCAGCCCTTAACTATTTAATTTTATTTCGACTTCTATAAATCAATGGGTACCAACTTGGACGGTGCAGTCCAGGCTTTACCATTCTTTGGTAAAGACAGGCTTGGGGGCTGAGAATGGTCCAGCCTTGCTTGGCCTGTCTGCCTTCCTACCCCGGCACCTAGCCCTCCTCAGCTGTCTTAGGTCCTAGGCCCGAAACATCTCTCTCACCTTGGGAACCTAACTCATGTAGCTTCCTCTGCCTAGAATTTTCTTTTCATTCCTTCCATGGCTGAGGCTTCATTTTCCAAATCTCAGTTACAACGCTCACTATTCAGGGAGAACTTCCATGACCATGTGACTTTACAGTTCCCATCCCTGAGCTAATGACTCTGTTCTGTGTGGTCTATGCCATTCCCTCCCTTGTTTACACATATTCCATTTGCCTCCTCCATTGGACTGAGCCCCCATGAACACTGGCTAGGCACCAGGCCTACCATATAGTAGCTGCTCAAACTGTTCTTAAAGTCCTACAGTCCACTCAGGACATAACCTGAGGCCAGGGATGTGATAAGGGGGACCCCGCCACCACTCACCTTTTCCCTTGGAGACATCTGGATGTCCAGAAGGAATATGGCTCTCCAGAGTGGTCCAGCTCCAGGATTTAGTGGCAGGAGGGTGGCCTGCACCCCTAGAATTTTGAGTCTTGGTTTCCTTACTCTCTGGGGCAGCAAGGGGAGAATCCACTAGAGTTCCCTCACAGTACGTTTCCACATCAGGATGCAGTGTGTCAGGGCTGGCCCTGGGCGGAAGCACTGGGGGTCTCAAAGTGTCCACACCAGCCACAGAGGAGGAAGACGAAGTGTTAGGTTCTGGTTCTTCAGGAAGAGCAGAGATTGCCTCAGCCATACTGTCAAGGACCATAGACAGCTCAAGCCGCTCAGCTTTCGCCACCTTCAATCAGACAAATATAGGGAGACACAGCCTGGTGCATGGAAGCTCATAAGGCTCACATGCCAGCAACTCTAATCCTGATGCAGAGGGCCAGGGAGTTCCTGGAAGGCAAGGACTGGGGGCAGCATGGAGGAACTCACCTTAGGCAGTCTCCCCCAGGCCCACTGCATGTGAGACTCAGCTCTCAGGGGACTGGACTCTAAGGACCGCAGCTCCAGCTCAGAGTCACTCTTAGGGGACATTAGGTCACCTGCTGAAAGGCTGCAAAGAACAAGCATTCAGAGACAACCACTAGTCAACCACTCCCCATCCTAGCCCAACATAGAAAAAAAAACTTTCAGCCGGTCATGCTTGTATTGAATCCAAAATATTACACGAAGTATGTGTGTGTATATGTATATTACATATATAAAGAACTCCTATAAATAAATAAGAAAGCAATCCAATCTTATTTTTTAAAGCTAGATGTGGTAACACGTGCCTGTAATCTTAGCACCATGTTCTGCTACATAAGGAGTTCAAGGCCAACCTTGGCTATGTGAGACCCTGTCTCAAAAAGTCAAAACAAATAGGATGGCAAGATGTGACTTCTATAAGATCTATTTATGTGTATGTTTACACATGAGTGCAGCGCCTGTGGAGGCCAGAGAGGCCATTGGATCTCCCGGAGCTGGAGTGACAGGCAGTTGTGAGCTGCTAGGAACTGAACTTGTATACCTGGAAGCAAGTGCTCTGAAGTGCAGAGCCATCTCTCCAGCCCCAAAGATGTGACTTCTTAATGAGTATGGAGTTTCTTTCCAGCATGAAGGAAAGTTCTAGAACTAGAGAGTAGTTCCAGTTATGTAACACTGTGAATGGACTTCATGCCACTGAATCGTATACTCTGTACTGGTTAAAATGGTAAAGTTCATGTGAAGACTATTTTGCCACAATTTAAAAATTGACTTTGACCCCAAGCACTGCCAAACATAAGCCAAATGTGAATGTTTTACAAAAGAGAAATACAAACAGACAACAAACTGAGTGAATTCTGAGGCATTAGTCAACACAAAGATGTAAGCAGAAACCAGGCTCATGCCAGCCTGCCACCCACTGAACACTTACCTGGCCTGTGGGGTACACTCGCCATCAGAGTAAGGATAGATGTCCTTCGGCTGCAGTGAGGACTCCTCTTCCTCCTGAGCACTACTTAGGGAGCACAAAGAAATGCTCAGCAACAGGCAAGGGCATGGCAACCTATCAGGACTTCAGACAGTAAAGCCCAGAGATGCCAAGGCCCTTGTCCAGACTTGCACAGCATCATCAGTGGAAATGCTTTGACCCAGATTAGTGCTCCCCACAGCCTCCACCTGGTTCCTACCCACCTTGGGGACTCTGGTGTTGGCTTTTCCTGCAAGGGCAGCTCACTCTCAGTACTGGCCTCCAACTCCTCAGAACTGGAGTCCATGGCATCCTCCCTGCGCCTGGCTTTCCTCCTGCGCCTCCTCTTTCTCCGCCCAGTGATGACAAGGCCCTCAGGCTCACTGGCTGTGCCCAGCTGGGAGTCTGAGGGAAAGCCTGACAGGCCTCCCCATGGGATGGGCGAGGTGCACAGGCGAGGAGGCACGTCTTCCTGTGGGGAGAACCAGAGCTGAAGGTGCTAGAGCCATCAGGTTATCCAGAACCCACAGTGAGCTCACTTAGGGACAGGGGGCCTGAGTAGAGGTGGTGGCAGCCCACACTGGCCACAAAACCCCTTTGAGAGGTGAGGCAGCAGTCCAGGCAGCTCTATCAGGACAGGCCTTAGTCTCTCACTGCCTCTTAGAAACACCCATTTCTCTTCTAATATTTAGCTAGGTGCTGCTTCCTCCAGGAAGCTTGCCCAGACTGCAATTCCTTGCATGACTAAGAGGCTACATCGTTGGATATTCATGGGCCTGTATTCCAGACTTGTCTGGAACTCTTTTATTTTTCTTTTCCCTCCCTCCCTCCCTCCCTCCCGCCTTCTCTCCCTCCCTCCCTTCCTTCCTTCCTACCCACCTTGGGGACTCTGGTGTTGGCTTTTCCTGCAAGGGCAGCTCACTCTCAGTACTGGTGTACTGGAGTACTGCACTCATGTGTAAACATACACATAAATAGATCTTATAGAAGTCACATCTTGCCATCCTATTTGTTTTGACTTTTTGAGACAGGGTCTCACATAGCCAAGGTTGGCCTTGAACTCCTTATGTATTCACCCACTGGCTCTTGCATCTATTATTGAGAGATGCCACATTTTGTGTGTGTGTGTGTGTGTGTGTGTGTGTGTGTGTGTGTGTAATAGATTTTGTCTCTTTCTGACATGCTGCTTCAGCTTCTTGAAGCTTCCAAGCTACAGGATTCATTTATAGTGTTCTGTCTGCATGTGTCCCTGCAGGCCAGAAGAGGGCACCAGACCTCATTATAAATGTTTGTGAGCCACCATGTGGTTGCTGGGAATTGAACTCAGGACCTCTGGAAGAGCACCCAGTGCTCTTAACCTCTGAGCATCTCTCCAGCCCTTGTCTGGAACTCTTTTTGAAGGTAAAGGAGTCACTTGTTTGAGTCTGCTGCATAGTGTCTGGCATACAGCAGGGGCTCAGGTAAAGTCTATCAAATTCAAGCAGTTAAAACTTTTCGTTGGCTTGGGCTAGGCCCTGCCTCCATTCTGCAAACACTCTGCTTTTTAGCCCCCTCCCCCCACCCCCGACTCCTAGTTCTGTGTTCTGGCTGTATGGTACCAACACAGACTAGAACAGTCAGGCTTTATTCTTTGCAGTCCCCTCGCCCTCATCTTTTCTGAGATTCCCAGGCCAACTCTCCACTCCCCAGGGACCCAGAGGGCTCCTGCTTCAGAAACCTTCCCCAGGAAGTAGAATCAACCAGAGCAGGTCTCCTTTTTCTGGGCTGTGACAGAATATCATGAAACTTGAAGCCAGCCTTAAGTGACCCCCTGCATCAGTTCTCTGCTGAAGAGATGTCCCTGAAGTCAGGGACAGTGACAGATGCCAGGTTCCCTCACCAGGGAAGGGGTGAGGTCTGGCACAAGCCAGGGTGATGATCTCTACCTCATCGCTGTCCAGCTCCTGGACAAAGAAGGCCTCGCCACTGTCCCCCAGTTTCATGTGCAAGTCCACGGGCTCTCCATTGATTTCAATGTCCACCTGCAATGGAAACAATGGGTAGGGACTACATGGCCATAGCATCAGTCCTCACGTCCTGATCCAGCAGCTGGAGACACACTTGTGCCTGCCTCCAGCTCTGAGCTGGCTGGAACTCTCTCCAGACTTACATGGCCCTGGCTGCTTGCTTGTCACTCGGTCACCAGGAGAACATTGCTGTGACCTCATTCTCTACTTCCTCCCAGCTCCCAGGTGTTGACTACATGAATAATGGTTAGAATTACCACTTATGGTGGAGTGTTTTATGTAGAGAATCCTGTTTAAGTTTACAAGAACCCTTTGTAGTAGCTCCTATCATTATGTCCATTTTATAGATAAGGAAACTGAGGCGTGTGTGTGTGTGTGTGTGTGTGTGTGTGTGTGTGTGTGTGTGTGTGTATGTATGTATGTATGGGGGGGTAGGTTATTTGTACAGACCTGCCCTCCCAGAAAGAGTCTATGAAACTCAAAAGATCTTCAACTACACCCTAATCTCCTTGCTTTGTTTTGAGTGTGTTCGTGTGTGGTGTCATATGTGCTGCACATATTTGTGTGGGTGCCCACATATATGGGTGCCTGAGGCCTGTCTCTGGTGTCTACACTCAGTCACACTCTTCCTTATTTTTTGAGACAGGGTCTCCCACTGAGGTGAGGCTGACAGGCTCCGGAGTCCCCAGAGATCTACCTGCCTCTGCCTCTCCGGTGCTAGCATTACAGGTATCTTCTGCACCTTGCCTTTTATCTGGGAATTTTGCTGGGAACCCCAGCTCAGGGCATGGCAAGCTGTTTACTGATTTGGCCATCTGCCCAGCCCTACAGCCCAACCTCTTACCTCCAAGGTACACTGTCTTTCACAAAAATTATACTTTCCTACCACACTGCTGCTCACACATAGACCCAGGTGCTAAATAAATTCTGTCATGAACCTGAGGAAGCCCACAGAGCTGGCCTCAAGGCCACATTATCTGTTCCTGTTTACTGTCCCAAACTATTCCATAGCTAGGACCAGGCATATAAAAACTTGTTCATTCCTAAAGGTGATATGACTGGGTTTGAAGATGTGAGGTGATTAGCAAGGCCACAGGGGAGGTCTTAGTAAGTTGAGCCAGGCCGGGTAGCCACCTGGTTCTACTCCGGTAGGCTTCCTATCTGGACAAATGATAATCTTCTGGATCAAGGCCTTAAATGAACCCCAAAACATAAGTGAGGGCCAGTGAGGTGGCACAGCAGAAATTGGCATTTGCCACCAAGCCCGACGACCTGAGTTCAATCCCTGGAACCCACATTGTGGAAGGAAAGAACTGACTCCCACATTGAATACATACATACATACACACACACACACACACACACACACACACACACACACACAACCATATATATACACATACACAAAATAAATTTTAAAAGAAAATTCAGTGAAAATACAAAAGAAGGTATATGGGATAGGCACACCCCACCTTCACCCCTTACGGAAGCCAAGTCTTTTCTGGGACAGCAGTGATTATGCAGCCTTCAAAAGCCCACCCTGAGCCAGGTGTTGGTGGCGCATGCCTTTAATCCCAGCACGTGGGAGGCAGAGGCAGGTGGATCTCTGTAAGTTTGAGGCCAGCCTGGTCTCCAGAGCGAGTGCCAGGATAGGCTCCAAAGCTACACAGAGAAACCCTGTCTCGAAAAACCAAAAAAAAAAAAAAAAACCCTTTTCCAAAAAACAAAAAAAAAAAAAAAAAAAAAAAAAACCTTCCCCTGATGAAGCCAGACCACAGGCCTAAGCACTCACCACCTTCTCCCGTGACCGCAGGACACCCAGCTTGCCAAATCGCACGTGGAAGGGTGAGCACCGGAAGGAGCCATCTGTCTGCTTCACCACCAGCACATCGATGCCGCCACTCAACGTGGCAGGGTTTAGGCCCCTGTATAGTTCCTTAACTGTTCCAAACACCGTCTCTGCCAACTGCCCCACATAGTTCATGGCTGCTGCTGGCCAAGAGCTGGGATGCCCAAGCTTAAGTTGTGCCTAGCCCTTGAAAAGAGGATGTGTCTGTACAGCGCAGCCGTGGAGATGGGGCGATCTCCAGGATACCGAGGTCTACTAGCCGTGGCTGGCCCACCCACCTACTGTGGGGCCCTTGGGCAGCCTGCTGTCTTCTCCTACTGCCAGTGTCCACATCTGTAAAAATAAGGACTCGGGGTGAGACGACAGCTGGGTGCCCGTGCCTCTAAATGCTATGACTCATGGTAATGCCTGAGCACTCCATGGGCATGGCTCATCTAATCTTCACAATAGTCCTGCAAGGCTGGCAGAGCAGGGTTATTGTTCCTGTTTACAGATGAACCAGTAGAAGCTTGGAGAGGTGGGGTGACTTGCCCAGGGTCTCACACCTATAAGGACAGAACCTGAGGATCAAGTCCAGGTCTGTGTGACTAATGTCCAGAACCTTTGGCAGAAACAAATAGAAAGAGTCACCATGGAAACAGGACATTGTGGGCAGTGGGGAGAGCCTCCAGATACAGCAGGCCTTGTTAGGTAATAGATGGCATCCTAAAGGAAGTCTTCCATTTGAGAAATGGGTCTAGATAGCTTGCTGCTTCCTGGTCCTAGAAATTGCATACACGCTCCAGGCACATAAACCTCTACTGAGCCCTATTACTAGTCCAGATACCAAATAAGGTCTCTATAGCTTAAGGAACCACTCCAACCCTGCACCCGCCCTTTTCTCCTGGTAAGATGTCCATCTGAGGCCCACAGCCCCATTTCATGATCTCCAGGCCATTGTCCTCAGCCCCTAGTTTCAGACTAGATACTCAGATGCACAGTCAGGCCAATGTTGTTCTTCATCCTAGCCAGACTGGTCCCTCCAGCTTTCCTGCATCAGGCAGGGTGGGGAGAGGCGAAGGCAGGAGGCTTCAGTGGCAGCAAAGAAAAGCCAGGGCTATAATGAGAGTCATAACCAAGCTGATGTAGTATCCCCTCGCCCTACGCCGCCCTTTCCAGATTCAGCCCATTATACCTGCTATGCTGCCAGGTAAGTAACCTACTGCTCCTCTGGCTGCCAGGACTGAGAACTGGACCTGAGACACTGCCACGTGTCACCCTCCTCTTTCAGATCTTGCACAACAATTCCTGGAGGACAAGGGTTCAGGATCACCCTTCAAAGAAGCTAAGCCACTTATCAAGCTTTATGGACCTAACAGAGCATAGATGAGGGCAGGGGAGCAGGAGAGAGGCTGACTCAGGTCTCTGGATGCCTTCATTAGTCCATAGTCCCTAAACCACACCACAGCTGTCTGCAGAGAGAGCAGCCACCTCTGCATAGCTTTGTGATGCACTGGGCTTGGAATGTTTTCCATGAATTGGCAGTGTAAGTGTCACCTGAGAGCTTTGTTAGAAATGTGGAAATTTAGGTCTAACAGCCTTTGTGGGTCCACATGTACATCAGAACAACCTCCCCAGTGGTGATTGTATCCTAGAGTGTTGAGAAGAGTCGTCTCAGTGTTCCCAGGCCATAGCTGGATTTTTGGCAAAGTCTGAATTGAAAGATTTTAGTTTGCTGAGAGAAAAAGTTTTGAAAGATTTTAGTTCACAGAGAGAAAAAGTTTCCCACAGGCCTCGGCCCATTACAAGGCAGTTGGCCCCAACCCTGGGCACATCCTATGGTTTAGACGGGGGCAATCGCCAAGACAACCCTCTTTGGGTCACACCTGGCTGCCCAACAGACAATCAAGGACTTTCCAGGGTACGGTCTGTGGTTTTTTTCCTTTGTAAAAAAGCAGGTCACACCTGGGTGACCACTCTAACATAAGATCATACTTTGTAATCAATCACTTTGTGCCCCTTGCCTGTATGCTCATCTGTGGTTTTTTCCTATATAAGGAGCTTACACCCCATGCTGATGTGTGTAGCTTCCCCGATATTGCTGACACTTGAATGCGCATTCGTTCAATGAACCCTCTTGCGTTTGCAGCTCTTGGTCTGGTGTCTGAGTCTCAGGGGCTCCTTGGGATCCTGAGGCCCTTGGGGTCTGGGGGTCTTTCAGAATGATGGACCCCAGTGGGTAACATTTGTGAAGGAATGTGGCTACCCCAGACAGAGCACAGGCTTTCCTCTCTCTCTGTCAACAGGTGGTGCATTTCAGAGGATGGAAATGGAGACTCAGACAGATGAAGTGACCTGCCCAGAGTCACAACTAGTCACTGGCAGAGTGGAGATTAGCAGTTTGGTACCCTTACCCACAATGCCCTGTGGCCATCCATGATCTGGGCGTCTGATAATAAAGCTTTGGCCTAGACAGCCGAGGCTAAGTCAAAAATAGGGTGAAATTAAACTCTGTGGCTCCCTAATCTCACTCAAATCCAACAACAGCTTTGTTGGCAAGATACCCATTGATTAGGTCCTGGTTGGAAAGGTTCTTTCTGCTCAGTGACTACAGATCTAAGGAGACAGACTGGCAGGTCAGGTATCTGTTGTTGAGCAGGGCTCTAGACGAGTGAGTCCAGGGAAAGCAGAGAAGACCCAGGAGTTTCCAGGAATAAAGGGGTGAGCATGGGAAGCCCTGGGTAGGATAGCAGGCTTGGTCTACTGTGTGTGTGTCTGTGTGTGTGTGTGTGTGTGTGTGTGTGTGTGTGTGTGTGTGTGTGTGTACGCTCTTGCTGAGCAGGGTACACTGTAAGACTGTATCTCTGGACTCTGACCATTAGATACCAGTAGGCCCCCAGCTCCCATCCAAGATTGTGACAGTCAGATTGTCTCCTGATATTAAATGCCTCCCAGGGGCACTAGGGATATAGCTCAGTGGTAGAACACTTGCCCTCTATGTGCAAGGCCCTAGGCTCAATCCCCAGCACTGCAAACAAAGCCAGATGTCTCCTTGCATGAAAAGAGCTGGATGGCAGAGATGAGTACATGGGAGGAGGTGTCACTAGAGTTACTCAGATCTGTACACGAGGTATTCTCAGGCAAGCAGCTTGCTGGCCCCAGTTTCCCCTGTACAATATAGGCCTTAATTTAGAGCCATCTTACTCAAATGTCAAAGGAGTCTAGAATCCCATTTGCTTGGGCTTTTGAGTAACTCTAACTAAAATCCTAGTGGTCTTCCCCCACATCCACCCCTAGAGGAATCTTCTTTTCTGCCTTTTTCAAGCTGGGAGCTCTGCTTGATGCCATATACAGTTGTCTCTTCCCTGACTTTCCTGCTGTCTACGTTAAGACTTTGTTACCAGACGCCCAGCTCACTGATGGCAGCAGAGCACTGTGGGTGAGAACACCATAGTGCCTGATTTCTAATCTGCACACCTACTAGCTCTGACTTTGGGCAAATCACTTGATTTATCTTAGTGTCAATTTCAGCTTCTTTGAGTGGGGATAATATCAGGTAGGTATGAATACCCAATAATTGCATACAGTGCTGCACAATATGTTTTGTGCCCATTGTGTGTCATCTGACAGAGACACCAGCATCTTTTAAAGCACAGCAGTCCCACTCACCCAGGCTGTGAGTAGGGCAGCCCCTACTTGCCTTAACAGTTTAGACACAGTGAGCCGGCATTCAACATCTGCAACAGTAGGGACCTTACTATTTACAAGATAGACAGGTGAACTCCACGCCTTGCTCAAGCCAGGCTAGAAATACCCACAAAGCTCCAGAAAGTCTACCTCTACCATAGGGAAGCCAGGACCAGCTGCCCTGCACCTGAGATCTCTGCCCTCTTGGGTACCCAGATTTTGAGGCAGGGGAGTCATGGAGTGGGAATGATTTTGCATCTGTCACCAAAGAGAGTAGGAGGATAAGCCTTTTGTTTTGTTTTGTTTTGTTTTTGTTTTTCAAGACAAGGTTTCTATGTGCAGCCCTGGCTGGCGGGAACTAGCTCCGTATATACCAGGCTGGCCTGGAACAAAGAGATTCACCTGCCTCTGCTTCCAAGTGCTAGGATTAAGGGTGTGTACCACCCGCCTGGCAGATAAGCACTTTGTTTATAAGCACTTTGTTTGTTTATAGCAGTGCTGGGGATGAAACCTAGGGTCCCTCCTTTCCCAGGGAAGTTCTCTACCACTAAACTGCAGTTCCCCAGCATAGAGTAGCAACTTCTGTTGCCCCAGAGAGGGAAAGTGCCTCCCAACTCCCCACATTGACTCACAGGACAGGACAGGCAAGGGCCGGACATTCCTTTGCAACTAAGGACACTCAGTACCAAGGATACACAGTCAGTCTAGGGTAGCCTCCATAAAGCGTTCCAGCATTTCCTCTCCAGCTCCCTGATCTTGACTACCCAGGGTGCTCGCAGCCGCTGGGAGGAAGTGAGGCCATCGTCCCTCCGCCCACGCTTTCCCCGGGCTCCAGGTGAACGGACTCTGGCCCTAGAACGTAAATGAAGCGAGATAGAAGAACAGGTGGGAGGGAAACTTTTTTTCCTGGTCCAGCTAGGTTCCTACCTAGGAATTCCTCTCCTCCCCTAGAGCTCCGGGAACCAGAGTCGTCGCCTCTACCTGGACGCAGAGGTTCCACAGGTAAGTATCTAGGTCCTGGCACTTCCGCCTTCTCTGGGACCCGGTGAGATCCGGGCTCCACTCCTTCCACCAACCAGGTGCGGCCTTCGCTGTCCCCTACCGGTCCTGGCTCCACCCCTCACTTCGCAAAGACCCCGCCCCTGTCCCGTGTTCACACCAAGGGCACCCTTTCTCCCTTGGAGACTGGGGAGCTCCCAGGCTCCAGGACTCTGCTCCGTGACCAGCCTGGCCACCAGCTGCAACGACAGTTACACCGGAGACGCAAGGACTTTGGAACCGCGTCTATCTATGTCCTGTTCCTTTCCACCGGAATATGTGACCTTGGGCGAATCTTCCACCGAATTGAAGGCGGTTCCTGCATTATCAAAAAGAGAAAAGCTACTTGTAGGATTTGCCAGGTGTACATGAAGTGTCTTTGTGAGGTGCTTGGTGCTCGGATTTCCCATCCTGGAGCAGCGTTCCTTAGCCCTCCACACCGTATTCTAGCCGAGATCCAACTGCCCATGTACTCCCAGTTGTAATTTCTTTATTTACTCGATTAATGTCAGCCTTGTTTTGGTTTTTGCAATGCTGATATCAAACCCAGGGCTACACGCAAAGGGATCTACCACCGCTACATCACACAGCTTTAAATGTCCTCTTTAACTGAACTTGAACTCCTTTTGGACAGATCACCTTCTCGAGCTCAGGGGCCATTGCAATAAATACCTGTTCCGTCATCCCATCAGACAAGTCAGTGGGAGGGCAATGCACTCAATACCACCATGGTCCGGCAGAGGGCAGATGGTGACCAGCCTTCTCACCCAGTCACGCTTTCTCGCCACACAACAGTCTCAAGAGCAGGACAGATGCGAAGATTTGTAGGCTATAAATGCATGGAGTCCCCGGCAGGCCAGAAAAGACTATTCCTTTTGAAACAATGTTCGTTGCCTTTCCTGACTCAAAGACCTCTGTGACTGCCTATAAGTATGTATGACCCCTGCAAAGAAGATGTGTGGAAAAGATGAAAAGCTGAAGGCCTTGGTTCTGAAAAACACATTCAGCCTTTGCTTACAAGATGGCTCAGTCAGCCCAGCCTGGTGGCACAAGCCTTTAACCCAGCATTGGGGGTGGGGAGCAGAGACAGTTGGACCCTTGAGTTCAAGGCCAGCCTGGTCTATAGAGCGAGTTCCAGGACAGCCAGGCTGCACAGAGAGTACCCTGTCTCCAGAAACCAAAACAAAATAGACTTAAAAAAAAAAAAAAAAAAAAAGGCTCAGCCAGTAAAGGCACTTGCTTTTGAGTTGGATAACTGCAATCCACATTTACAAGGTGTCCCAGACAAGTTGTGAAGCCAGCACGCACTCCATGCGCACACTTTGAGTCAGTGGTTTTCAACCTTCCCAATGTCGAGACCCTTTAATACAGTTCATTATGTTGTGGTGATCGCCAAACATGAAATTATTGTCCTGCTACTGCATAATTATTTTTCTACTGTTATGAATTGTAATGTAAATATCTGATATTCAGGATATCTCATATGTAATCCCTGTGAAAGGGTCGTTTGGCTCCCAAAGGGTTTCGACTCATAATTTCAAGAAACGCTGCTTTAAATAAGTGTTTGTGTTATTTATTTATTTCAAGGTAAAGGCATAAAAGGCAGGCTACTGGGAAAAGCCAGCTGTACAAAGGACTGGGAGGTGAGAAGCTGTTGCCATGATGTGATCCAAGGTGACAGAACTTGTTTAGAAATGACTGGCTTTTGTTGTCCATCCTGCAGTGTCTAGTTGCTATCTTAGAGGAGCCCTGCTGAAAGCAGGTCAATCTCAGGGTGGCCCCGGGAGGTTGTGACATGCCACAAGATTGTCTCGGCCGTTATGTAGAACGATTGCATTTGATGGTAAAACCTTGGATAACAGAAACTTCTCAAAGAAGGCTGAGACAGAATGTAGGAGGTTCACAGACTGGGACTTCTGATGCTGGAGTCAATCTTTTTTGTGTTTAAGATGGGGGTGTCCATGGAGCATATGGGAGGAGCAGGGAGTTGGGGAGCAAGAGGAGAGGAGGGAGGGGGAGCTGGGATTGGAATGTAAAAATCAAATTAATAAAAACAGGAATTAAAAAAATAATATATGAAAAAAAGATGGAATCTCACACCAGATGCAGTGGTGCATGCCTTGAAACCCAGTATTCAGGAGGCAGAGGTAGGCTGATCTTTCCAAGTTCTGAGTTTGAGGCCAGCCTGGTCTATAAAGTGAATTCTAGGACAGCCAGGACTATGTAGAGAGACCTTGTCTCAATAAGTAAGTAAGTAAATAAGTAAATAAATAAATATGAGGCCCCACTATGAGTTCCAGGACAGCCAGGACTATGTAGAGAGACCTTGTCTCAATAAATAAGTATAGGGCCCCACTATGTAGCGATATAGGCCAGGTAGGCATCATTTCTCAGAGCTCTGCCTTCCTCTGCCTCCCTTCACAGAGTACTGGGATTAAAGGTGTGCCCCACCATGCCCAGCCTAAATCTAACTTTTTGATCCTTAATTTCATTGGCAAATGGTGATCCTCAGTCTTGGCCACATATTTAAATCCGATGCCCTTGACAAAGGCTGACCCCATGGCACTGAGATTTCCACCCCATGTAGTTTTACTAAGCTAAATAAATGCTGAACACAGTGCAAGACACAATTAAGCACCCAATAATGTTTATCACTGTTTAGGTGGTTTTGTGTGTGTGTGTGTGTGTGTGTGTGTGTGTGTGTGTGTGTGTGTGTGTGTTGGGGGGTCTCTGGGTACATATGGAGGCCAGAGCAGATATCCACCTTAATGCCTTGAGATAGGGTCTGCATCTGAATTACAAGCTTGCTTTATGGGCTCAGCTGGCCAGTGATGTCTCTGGATCTCCTCCTGTGTCACACAGTGCTGGGCTTATAGGTATGCACAGCCATGACTGGAATTTTTTAAGCCACCAAGCCTGGCTTTTCTTTATTTTATTTTTTAAAATTTTGTATGTTTGGGTGTTTTGCCTGCATATATATCCATGAATCACCTGGGTGCAGTGCCCACAGAGGTCAGAAGAGGGCAGTGGATCTCCTGGGACTGGAGTTAGAGCAGCTGTGAGAGACCATGTGGGTGCTGGGAATCCCACACATGGGCTCTGCAGCCAGTGATCATAACCTATGAGCCATGGCTCCAACCCCCATGACTGTTTTTTTTATGTGAGTCCTGGGGACTTGAACTCTTCTTCATGCTTGCAGAACAAGAGCTCTTACCTCTGAGCCATCCCCAGACCATTCTTTTTGTTTTATGTAGATTTGTTTGTTTGTTTGGGGTGGGGCAGGATTTTGCTATGTTCCCCGGGATGACTTCAAACTCCTGGCCTCAGCCCCTTTAGCGGCTCTGACTGTAGGTGCACAGCACCGTGACCAGCTTTAATCTCACAGTTTTGAAGATGAAGCACATGCCGTTTTCATTGCTTTTTGTTAGAACGGGAAAAGTTCTTATAAAGATTGTTGCAGAAATTGGATTTCCATCAAGCTTGTTTTCGGAACTCTGAATCATCTGGAATTTGGAAGTTATGGAGGGGTGTGGGGGGGGGGCAAGAGGCAGTCTCTGGCGATCTTATTTGTCCCAGCCAAGCTGACCAAGGCAGGGACTATCCTGCTCTAGCTTGTAGCTTATGTCACCACCTCTGAGGTATCCCTTTAGTCTGAGAGTACTGTGTGTACTGCATTTGACTATTTCTGGAGTTAAAGGTTAGGTCGTTCCCCGCCCTCTGCTGAGGCCTATACCACTGGCGGCTGTTGGTTTCTTAGCAATCCAAGAGTAGTGTCACCAGGACTGCCTTCTTTTTTAAATTTGGTAGCCTATATGCTTCTGAATCCTCAGGCAGGTCCATGACTATTTACTTTGCCCTACTACTTCCTTGCGGGTGAACCCAGCCTGAGGTGAATGGAAGCTCTGAGCCAGGCCTGCAGCTGTGATCACATGTCATAAGCGGCAAGGCTGGCTGCCAGGAGCAGAGCCTCCACCAGTCCTAGTGGGACCGGATGCAGGGGTAGCTGGAATTGGCTCGCCTCAGGGAACAGGCTCTGGGATAGGAGGCAGGCAACCAGTGTATGGCCACTGTTAGCAAATAAAACCAAATGCCACTAGTTAACATTTCAATTTCAGACACACATTTCTTAGTGTAAGTGTGTCCCATGTAACACTGATTAGTTATCTAAAATTCAAGATTAACCTCATGCTTTCCTTTTGTTGTTGCTGTTGTTAAATCTGGTGAAACCGTGTCTGCCCAAATAGTTAAGTTCCCAGCAATAGTCTCTCCTGTCCAGTGTTGCCATATTCAGTTTCCACAGCCCAGCTCCAGAACAACACATGGCTTCCAGCTGCTTCCATAGTGTGACCAGGACTCACTGGCTTCAGCTCTTCTGCAAACCCAGATGATCTCCTTAAACCCTTTTCCACCTCTGTCCATGTGTTCACTGAGAACCTACTGGGTGCAGGCACCATGCTGAATTCTTTATTCTCATTGTCTCATTGGCTTCTCGTAAGACCCAGCACACAGGAGCTCATCATAATTCCATTTACCAGTGAAAAGACAGGCGCTCTAAGATAATGCTTCATGTATGTCTCAGGGTTTCTGTTGTTGTGAAGAGCCACCATGACCACAGCAACTCTTACAAGGGAATACATTTAACAGGGGTGGCTCACTTGCAGTTTCAGAGGTTCAGTCCATTATCATCATGGTAGGACATGGTGGCACACAGGCAGACATGGTGCTGGAGAAGTAGCTGAGAGTCGTGCATCTTGCAGGCAACAGGAAGTGGTCTGAGACACTAGGCAGTATCTTGAGCATATTTGAGACCTCAAAGCCCACCTCCACAGTGACACACTTCCTCCAACAAGACCACACCTATTCCAACAAGGTCACATCTTCTAATAGTGCCACTCCCTATGAGAGACTACAGGTGCCATTTACATTCACACTACCACAGTGTATTTATTTGTTTCTATTGTGTACACCTGTGTGTATATTTGTGAGTGGGCGAGTGTACAAGTGTGTACACATGCTTGTAGAGGACAGAGGACAACCTTAGGTGTCATTCCTAGGGTGCTGTCCACCTTTTTTGAAACAGGATCCCTCACTGGCTCCAGGAATCCAACTGTCTGCCTCCCCAGAGCTGAGATTACAAACACACTGCCTTCATACCTGGCTTCTTTGTCCTCCTCTTTCTCTCTCTCACTGTGTATCCCCAGTTAGCATGGAATTCAATATGGAGACCAGGCTGATCCACCTGCCTCTGCTTCTTGAGTGCTAGAGTTAGAGTTAAATGCATATGCCACCATGTCCATCAACACTAGCTTTTTTTTTTTTTTTTTTAACTTAGGTCCTTAGGCTTTCAAGGCAAGCACTTTGCTAGTTGCAACACCTCCGGGGCCTCAGATAGTGTTACTGAGAGTGAGTTCCACGGGCCAGCAGCAGCAAGCACTTGGGAATGTGTTAGGAATTCACATTCTCTGCCTACCCACCTGCCAGACCTAGTGAGTCAGAAACTTGGGAGGAGGGGTTGGCGGTTGTTAATGTCTTATATAAGCCTCTTCCCTTCTCTCCCGAAGCCTTGATTTGATGCTTGATCTAATATGAGATTTGTAAGAAATGAACTCTCCATGCAGGCAGAGATTAAAGCACAACGGAGGCTTTCAGGTAGGTTGTTTATGACATGTTGACATCAGGGCATGCCATATGGACTTCACAGTCATGGACACTAGGTCTAAGAAGATGCCAGTCAAGCAACTGCCATGTAAGATGAGTACAACTCCAGGAGCCCACAGCCAGGTAAAAAGGGTCACAGAGAGCTTTCTCCAGTACAAATGTAGGCCTGAAAGCCAACTTCAAATTAGAAGATGAGTGGGCATTGTGGGACCTACCTTATAGGAAGGCTGAATGGTGCTACCCGGAATAGTTCAGTGTTGGTGAAGCAAAGTGAGGAAGGCGGTTGTGATGTTCCCTGCCCTAAGAGCAAAGGAAAAAAACATTATGGATATCGTGGAAGCCCTCCAGCTTCTAGGTAAAGGGAGCACTTCTGAAAATGGAGGGAGGAAGAGGGTGAGGAGAGACCCAAGGAGTGTTGGGCCTTTCCATCCCTTAGATTAAGAGAGCCTCTACCCTCTAAGGCATCTACAGAGATTCAACTCCCAATTACATTCACCAGCAGCTAAGAGGTTTCAAAGCCCAGCCCATGCTCTGGGTGCAAGGCCTGCTCTTCCAGGACTAGCTGAGGGGAAAGGTCTAGGAAGCAGTTTCTCTGGCCCCACCCCTTCTGGGCTCTTGCCAAAGAAAAGCCTTTGGTGCCAGCTGAGGACTGACTGGCATGGCCATGCTGCCTGGCAGTGTCCAGGCTCCAACTGCCTTTCTCAGGAAAGACGTCAGATGGCTGAGCCTTTTCGGAATTTGACGGTAATTTCTGACTGAAAGTGGAAAACCAAAAGGCCACTGTGTAAAGTGAAGCTCTCTGTGTCTTAAAAGAAAATTCTCCAGCAGAGTGGGGATACAACTGTTGGGAGAGTGCTTGTTTAGTGTGTAAAAGACCCTGGGTTCAAACCCCAACAATCTACAAAACTGAGCAAGGTAGAGCAGGAGGATCAAAAATTCAAGGCCAACAACAACAACCACAACAACAAACCAAGGTCCTCCCCAGCTACTAAGTATGTGAGTCAAGCTTGGGAGACTTTTTTTTTTTTTTTTTTTTTTTGAGACAGGG